GACATTTTGTAAATGCCACAATCAACGATGAGAAAATGATATGATTTAGAAAATACGTTTCTGGTTGCATCTACTTCAATTAAACTGGCAATCAGCAATACTTCAGACGCTTTATTATCCAAACTGATGATTAAAAGAGGGAAGTTTCAGATTCAAGTGGCATCAGCACCACGTAACGGAAGGGCCATATGCAGATACGCAGAAACACTATTCTGCCCGCTAGCCAATCGGCGTTGAGAAGAGGGGCCGTTGCAAAGTAAGGAAAATCGACAACACAAATTCACTTTTTGAGAAATCTGATTAATATTAGTGATACTTAGTAATTAATTAACAATAATCACAATAATTTCAACTGTAATGAGAATAATAGTTATCATAATGATAATAATAATTATAATAGTAATGATAATAATAATAGTGATGATGAGGATGATAAAGATAATATTGATAATAACAATGATAATGATGATACCAACAACAAAAACAATTGTAAAAAAAAAAACATAATGCAAAAACTAGATTTATTTGCACTGTGGGTTTTTCTACTATAGTATCTACACGGAATAATGCTTTACCATTCAACAATAATAATACTAATGATAATAATAATAATGATGATAATAATAAAGATAATAATATTGATAATAAATGAAATAATGATAATAATAATAACAGCAACAATAAATATAATGATGGTGATGATAATAATGATGATAATAATGATAATAATAATAATAATAATAATGATAATGATAATAATAATAATAATAATAATAATAATAATAATAATAATAATAATAATAATAATAATAATAATAATAATAATAATAATAACAATAACGATAATAATAATAATGATAATAATAATAATAATAATGGTGAAAATAATAACATTGATAACATTGATTGTGATTATAATAATGATAATAGTAACGATAATGATAATATAGATTATCTTGATGAATATGAGAGCAATAGATATAGCAATGATAATATAGTAATAATGACAATGGCAATGATAATAACGATAACATTAACAACAGTGATGGTGACAATGATAATGAAGATGATAATGATAATGATGCTGACAATGATAATGATAATAATGATAACCATGAGGATAAGGATGATGATAATGAAAATAATCATATTGATGATGACAGTAATAATGGTAATATCAATAATAACAATGATAATTATAGTAATAATAATACTAATGATGATAATGATAATGATAATAATAAAAGTAACAATAACAATAATAATAATAATGATAATGATAAGGATAATGATAATGATAATGATAATGATAACAATAATAATAACAATAACAATAACAATAGCAATAATATTAATATTGCAATGGCAAAACAGATATAAAAAAGGATTAGATCAAGAGAACGCGATTCTACAGAATGCTCTTCAGATTAATGTACAACTATTAAAAATATAAGTGTGTACAGTAATATGATTTTCGACGTAGATCACAATTCAAATTTGTATTAAGAAAAAAATGAGCAATTACAATTCGCTTGAAATTCTTGATTTGATTCTGAAGTGTGTGTGTGAGGGGGGGGGGGGGGTATTCATCCACTATTTCTACGTTTTGATTTGATAAACTATATTTGCTATGTTAAATTGTGAGGGTAAGGCATGGATATATATATATATATATATATATATATATATATATATATATATATATATATATATATATATATACACACGTATGTATGTATATAATATATACATATATATATATATATATATATATATATATATATATATATATATATATATATATATATATATATATACTTATATATATATACATATATGTATATATGTGTGGAATTCATGTCAAACAAATTGCAGGAAGAACAACGAAGGGAAGTTCAGGAAAACACACGAATATGCCGAAGGCCTTTTCGCATTTACTGCTTCATCAGGGCATACATAACAAGACACACACACACACACACACACACAAACACACACATACACACACACACACACACACACACACACATATATATATATATATATATATATATATATATATATATATATATATATATATATATATATATATATATATACATGTATAGGCATGAAAAAAATATGTATTTTTCTATGTATATATACATATCTATATGTTTTCACACACATACGCACTTGAACTGTTCCTAGATACCGTGTTCACTCTAAACCCCATCCCTCCCCCTCCTTTCCCTCCCTCCCTCCTTTCATCCCAGCCCCCCCCCCACCCCACCGGCCCCTCCGCATCGCATTCGTCTGAACTTCGCCGCCGTTTCAGCGCCGCCTCGAGACTGATGTCCTTCGAGAGTGACAGCTGATCGGCCTGAACTCTGCGGACTCTCCACGCCGATGGTTGTGTATGTCCGCTTTATCGCTGTTCTTTGTTTTTTGTTTGTTGTTTCATTATTTTTTGTTCTCTTAATTTAACTATTTTTTTTTTTTTTTTGGTTTGGTGGTCTCC